TCGCCTTTCCCATTCAGTCCAGCATGTACACCCCTCTGGTTTATACTACATAAACTCCAGGCCCGAGTTCCCCTTTGTTCCGGCACCCACAATGTATTGAGGAGCATGCGTGGAGATGACTATACATCTCACCCTTGAACGGGAGCGTTTTAGGGGAACCTGGCTCATGGATAAACCTTACTCTGCTTGTCATCGTCCTGATTAATATGTAAGTTATAAAGGCCTGTGGCCATGTCAGTGAGTAGTGTGATTATTCACTCTGATCCAAAGAGCCCTGCACTGTCTGATTTATTTCACTTGGTACATCACAAAGACTTATTATTGTTAAGGCGGTAATGCTCCCCAAACTGAACCACAGAGTGAATGCAATCTTTATCAAAATCTTAGCTGGCTTTGCAGAAGCTGATGCTAAAATTCATATGGGAATTCAAGGGACACAAAAGAGCTAAACAGTCTTGAAACACAACAAAGTTCCTATTTTCAAAACTCACTACAAATGATAATAAACAATACAGTGTGGTCTGGGCATAAGGACAGACGTATAGATCAATGTAATAGAACTGAGAGTCCAGAAATAATCAACAGTGCCAAGACAATTCAATGGGGGAAAGAACAGTCTTTTCAATAAATGGTGCTGGGACAACTGGACCTCCACGTGCCATATAATAAAGTTGGACCCCCTACCTCACATCATATACAAACATTAACTCAAAATGGCTCAAACACCTAAAACTGTAAAACTCTTAGAAGAAAACATAGGAATAAATTTTCATGACTTTTTATTAGGCAGTGGTTTCCCAGATATGACACCAGAAGCACAGGCAACCAAAGGGAGAAAACAGATAAACTGCACCTCCTCAGAATAAGAGCTTTTGTTCTTTAAAGGACAGCATCAAAAAAGTGAAAAGACAACCCACAGGATAGGAGGAAATAGATATAAATCTTATATCTGATAAGGGACTTGTATCAAGAATATATAAAGAACTCTTATAACTCAATAATAAAAACACAAATGACCCAATTTGAAAAGAAGATATACAAATGAGAATGAGACGATTTCAACATCATTAATCATCAAGGAAATGCAAGTCAAAACCACCATGAGGTATCACCTTACATCCACTAGAAGGGCTGTAATTAAAAAGACAGATAATAACAAATGTTGGCAAGGATGTGGAGAAATTGGAACCCTCATACTCTGTAGGTAGGAATGTAAAATGGTGCAGCTGCTTTGGAAAATAGTCTAGCAATTCCTCAAAACAGTTATATGACCTAGCAATTCCACTCCTAGGAAATGAAAACATATGTCCACAAAAAAACAAAAAACAAAAACCTTGTACGTGAATGTTCACAGCAACATTATTCTTAATATCCAAGAAGCAGAAATAAGCAATACGTCCATCAACTGATGAACGGAAAAATAAAATGTGGTATAGCCATCCAATGGGATATTATTTGACGATAAAAAGAATGAAGTACCAATACTGACACGTGCTGCAATATGAATGAACCTAAGGAGTGGGAGGGAAATGGGTGTGCCTGTGACTGCTAAGAGTATGGGCACATGGGTGATGAACATTTATTTTGGTGATGGGTGCACTACTCTGTGACTATACAAAAACCACTGAATTGTACACTTTATGTGGGTGAATTGTATGGCACATGAACTATATCTCAATAAACCTGTTGCCCATCTCCCCCAAAAGAAAAAAAACATACAGACATTGACTAATCTTTCCATGCCCTGCTGTGAGCCAGAGTCTGCTGCTGCCGTGCCCCATGGTCTTTCCTGTATAAACTACATCTCTACGACATTATCTGACCCCTTGTTTCTGTGTTTTTAAAGTGGAGCTAGAACCTGAAGGCATCTATGAAGCGATATGTGTGCAGATGCCACTGAAATTTTTATCATTTTATCCAGGTCCCTTATAGTTGTCTTACCCACACCTAAAGTGACAGCAATATATTTAGTAAGCTTCTTTCAGAGTCTTTCCAAAACATTCAGTTTTGTTATAATAGAAGCAACTATCTTTTCGCACACATATTTCATTGGTTTATATGGTACTGGAATATGTCATTCCAATCTCAACAACAACAAAATAAATAAAATTTTAAAAATACATTAAAAAAAAAAAAAGAAATATCAAGGAAGGTTCAGGGAAGCAAAAGGGGAGGGGAAAGAGAGAAGTGGGCAAGTCAAATCCTTTGATGCTCCTTCCCCAGGGTGTGAGCTGTCCCCTCCAAACCATTCTCAGCTGCAACGTAACTAGCATGGAGAAGACAGAAGAGCATGGATATAACTACAAGGTCTACTTATGAAACAATAAGCCATTGTTTGAAAAAAGAATTACTGCAGCTATTTGTGTGGACATTACATTCTTCATCTATTTAACAAGTATTTGAGAACCTATACTTGCTAGATGTGGTCAGTGGTGGTTCAGTGGTACAATTCTCACTTTCCATGCTGGAGACCCAGTTCAATTCCCAGCCAATGCATCTCAAGTGCAGCCACCACCCATCTGTCAGTGGAGGCTTATGTGCTGCTAGGATGCTGAACAGATTTCAGTGGAGACTCCAGACGAAGATAGACTAGGAAGAAAGATCTGGTGATCTACTTCTGAAAAATCAGCCAATGGAAACCCTATGGGTCACAGGGGTCGGAACCATTGTGCGTGAGGTCTCCATTACTCAATGATGACAGCCAACAACAACAATGACAATGTGCTAGATGGGTCCCTGGATGATGCAAATGGTTAATGTGCTCGGCTGCTAACTGAAATATTGAAGGTTCAAGTCCACCCAGAGGCAACTCGGAAGAAAGGCCTGGCAGTCTACTTCTGAAAAATCAGCCATTGAAAACCCTCTGGAGCACAGTTCTACTCTAACACACGTGGGGCTGTTATGAGTTGGAACTGACTCAATGACAACTGGTTTTATGTGCTGGATATGTTAATTGCTAGTGATAGGGGAATGCGTGAGACAAACAGAGTCTGTGCCCTTATGGAAGTTACACTCCAGTGGGGGATAAAAACAAATAACAGAGAACCCTGTGGAGTACAGTTCTACTCTGACACACATGGGATCATCATGAGATGAAGCTGACTCGATGGCAACTGGTTTTATAAGTGCTTTACAGTTTATAAAGTACAGTTTATAAAGGCACCATTGCATTAGTGATCATTACGGCAACATCCTAATAACAAGCTGACATTCCCTCATCATTTAAGAATAAAAATGGTCACATTTATTCAGTGCTCACCATTAGGTCCATTTCATAGGTGAGGCTTGGGGGCACCGAGAAGCTCAGTGACGTGCCCAGAGTCATCTGCTTTGTACATAGGAGGGCCAGGACTCACACCCAGACCTGCCTGCCTTCAGACCGGCATCTCTGGGCCCACTAACACTGAACTGTGTAACAACTGCAGATTTCTGTTGTAATTGTATACTATATTATATTTACAACATATTGTATCCTTATTCAGTCGATAATTTTCATTTTAATGCGTACAACCAGGAGAATGCAAACTTTCAGTGTCTACAGCCCTTTGGTTCTGTTATTTTAGTGGGAGATTTAGAGACTGACAGTAAAACCTGCTGGGATGAGTAGAAGCTGACAGTACTTAACCTTCCCTGTATGCAACACACTGGAGAAAATCACCAACATAAAGCCTCAGTGAACAAGGCCAAAGTTCATCACTGCTGACTAACTGCTTAATTAGATACTTTTCAGAAATCTGCCACCTCCCCAAAAGGTCAGCTGCTGTGACAGCTACGTGGCTACGTACCGGGAGAGCGAGGCCGCACGCTGCATATGATTAGAGCCGAGGAATTTTTAACATTTTGGTAATGAGGCCCTTTGGCCTATACCTTGATTAACTGATGGATCGCCATGGGGTGGATGAGAAAGAAGAACAAATACAACAGCCGGCTACAAGAATAGTTTGCTTTTTCTTTCATAAGATGCATTAAGCACTGGGGAGGAGGCAGGGCAGGTCTGGAAGGAACAGTCCGAAAGAGATCCCTACCCATAGCATGAAAGAACAATATCTCCCCATCAATGACTGTTTATTGTACTGAGTTTGGTGGTAACACAGTCAACAGCGGGCTAGGTTCCATTCATGCTGAAATTACGAACAGCCTTAGTTATTTATTAAGTGTGCCTTAATAGGCATGTGTGTCAGTAAGTGTGTGATCCTCTTCTGGCCTCATCACTCTTCCTTGGGAGCTGCAGCTGTTCCTCTGTAAGATCCTGGTCACCGGGCAAAGGATGGCCAGTAGTCTGGCCCTGGGTTCTGAGCTCTGGGTTAATTGCTGTTGCCGTCGAGTCAATTCTGATTCGTAGAGTACAGACGAGCAGTTTTTCAATTTGAGAACTCATTTTCTAACAACCCTAAACCAACACGACCCAAAACAGTTGCCATCAAGTGGACTCCGACTCATGGTGACCCCATGTGTGTCAGAGTAGAACTGTGCTCCATGGGGTTTTTAATGGCTGATTTTTTGGAAGTAGATCACCAGGCCTTTTTCCCAAGGTGGGTGGGCTTGAATGTCCAACCTCTCAGCAGCCCAGCACGTAGTGTGTGCACAACCCAGGTACCCCCTAACAACCCTAGACTTCCTTTATTAAAGAGAATCTGAAACCTGAGGAAAGCGCCTTGCTCTGGAGGTGCCAGCCCCAGAAGGGATCTAGGGCTGTAGGACTTTCACTAACATTACTCAGGGTCAAATGCCAAGAGCCATTTGGGGGGATATGATGGCAGCAGGACTCTGCAAACATGGAGCTCCAACAGCTCCTAAAATAAACACAGCACACACACAAATCATCCTCCAGAGGGCAGCCAAGGGCCTCCAAGTGCCATGAGTGGTCAGGGCCCACTGACCTGACCGCTTCCTGGGCTGGAAGCCAGAAATGTCCACTGCTGTAATGGTTTCAGACTGGCTAGAGGAGGGAGTAAGTGCCGCCATGTTGAGTGTGCTTGGGAAGAAGGGAGGCTACTCACCATTTGCAGGACGTCAGAGGAGACCATCTGCATGCAGCACATGGCTGTGGCCAATGCACACACGATGGTGGAGAGGACATTGAGGGCGCACACGCTGAAGAGGAGGTCCTGTGAGGGAAGATAGAGAAGGTCAGCCTCAGCTTGGTGCCCAGCTAGTGGAATCCAATCTGCCAAGGTCCAGAATGAATGTAGTCAATTGTCTTCCTTCATGGAGGTTCTGTGTTGTTGGTTTTTTTTTTTCATAATTAAAATCGGCCCTTAGTGTACATATACCTGTTCATTCTGATCAAATTAGTTTTAGATGCTAAGTAATGTATTTTACAATTTTGAGAATGATTAGGTAGTCAATAACATGTCTAAGAAAAACTGGAAATGGCCACCATGTAAGTAGCTGGGTAATTTTTATCCATCACAATGTGCAACTCAAAATTTTGATAAATATTTAATAAAATGCCCAATTCTAAATTAAACTTTTTATTTTGAGATAATTCTAGACTCACATGCAGTTGTAAGAAATAATGCAGAGAGGCCTCATGTACCCTTTACCCAGTTTCTCCCAATGGCAACATTTTGCAAAACTATAGTACAAATCAACACCGGGACATTGACGTTGATGCCAATCAAGACACAGAACATCTCCATCATCATAAGGATCCCTCATGTTTCCCTTTTATAGCCACATCCACCTCACTCTCCCTGCTCCACCCTCCTCTAACCCTGTCAACTACTAGATGGTTCTCCATTTCTATAATTTCAAGGATGGTATATAGAGTCATCCAGTATGTAAATCTTTTGGATTTTTTTCACTCAGCATGATTCTCTCAAGATTCATCCAAGTTGTTGAGTATATCAGTAGTGCATTCCTTTTTATTGCTCAGTAGTATTGCACGGTTTGGATGCATCGCAGTTTGTTTAACCATTGACCAGCTAAAGAACATCTGGGTTGTTTCCAGTTTGGGGATATTGAAAATAAAGCTACTATGAACATTTGTGTACAGGTCTTTGTATGAACATAAGTTTTAATTTTTCTGGGATAAATGTCCAAGAGTACAATTGCTGGGTCATGAAGTAGTTGCATGTTTACTTTTATAAGAAACTGTCAAATCATTTTCCAGAGTAGCTGTACTGTTTCACACTTCCAACAGTGATGTGTAAGTGATCCAATTTCTCCACATCCTTGCTTGCATTTGGTGTTGTCACTATTTGTATTTTAGCCGTTTTGATAGGGGTGTAGTGACATCTCATTGTGGTTTAAATTTGCATTTTCCTGTGGTTAATGATGTTAGTCTTAGTTTCTGGGGCTTCCATAACAAAATACCACAAAATGAGTGGCTTTAAACATACAGAAATTTCTTTTTTCACAGTGCTGGTGGCTAGAGGTCTAAATTCAGGGACTTGGCAGGACCATACTCTCTCTCTATTGGTTCTAGGGGGAGATCCTTCCTTCTCTTTTTCAGGTTCTGTAGCCTTGGGTGTTTCTTGGTGTTCTTTGGCTTGTAAACAGATTCTCATATGGTGTCTTCTCTGTATGTGACTCTGTTTTTGTGTCTGTTCTTGTTTTTAAAAATATGTCACTCAGAAGGGATTAAAACTAGGACCCACCCTACTCCAGTATGACCTCATTTGGCTTAACCTATTTCTTCAAACATGGTACATTCACAGGTACAGGCGTTATGATTTCAATATATCTTTTGAGGAGACACAATTCAACCCATAACAATATTGCACAATCTCTCCATGTTCTCATTTGCCATTTGTACATCCTCTTTGGTGAAATACCTGTTTGTGTTTGCCCATTTTATAGTTCGATTGTTTGCATTTTTACTGTTGAGTTTTTAAAGTTCTTCACATATTCTAAATACTAGTCCTTTGTCAGATATGTGGTTTGCAAATTTCCACCCCTCAGGCTCTAGCTTGCTTTTTCATCCTCTTCACATGGGTTTTCAGGGAATAAAAGTTTTTAATTTTGATGAGGTCCAATTTATCAATTTTTGCTTTTATGGATCATGGTTTTGGTTTCAAGTCTAAGAACTCTGTCTAGCCCTAGCTCCTAAAGATTTTCTCCTATGTTTACTTTCTAAAATTTTTTTAAAAATAGTTTTACACACTTCCAGCCAAATGGCGCTCTCATGCTGTCCCTCCACAGCAAAGATCCGAAAAACTAAGCCAAACAGAGAAAACAGCAATCCCGAAACCCTAAAACATCAAATGAAGAGATAAAAAACTCAGCCAAGCACCAATGGAGTGAGAAAACTGACAGAGAACAGAGAGCGAGGAGAGATTCATGCAGAGGTCCCCTATCAGCTAGCACAGTGTGGATCCGCCATCTTGGACTCCTATCAAAGACCAGCAAATAGGGGGTATGAGAAAGCAGCTTCACAGAGCTTCCAGCGGGAGACAGAACAACTGGTAATTTGCGATATACGCTTTCCCACCCCCCACCCTTCTTCACCCCCATTCAGCCTCCTCTGCTTCCGGCAGCCACAGTCTCTCGTCTGGGAAGCATCAGCTGCTTAGATTCCACCCGCCCACATTGGCCGGCTCTCTGAGTGCTATTTGTTGGTGCTGGTGTTGCTTTTTTTCCTCTTCTTTTGATTTCTTCCTTACCTCTCACCACCTCCCCCTCCTGTCACTCAAATACCTGGCTCCGGGTTCCATCTTTGCTTCATCCTGAGGGGCTGTGGAGCTCCATTCACGTGTGGAGCTGCTTCCCAGACTGGGCTGCCATGCTGGTGGGATCCCAAGACTTTTGTTTGTTTGCTTTGAATTGTTTGTGTGTTTTATTTTCCTTTTCTTCAGTTGGGAGCCCGTTCTGGCAGGGTGGTGCTGAGCAGCTTGGCGCCTACCCCCTCAGTTTGCACAGACACCCAGAGGGATCCCTGAGAGCATTTCTTTTTTCGTGGGTTTTCTTTTTTTTTCTGTTTTTTCGACGGCTTTTCTTGTTCTTTTTTTTTTTAATTTGTTTTGTTTTCTTTCCCCTCTTTGTCTTTCTTCATTACTCAGTTTCTTGTCTCTCTATACCTTCTGTCTCTTTCTGTTCCCTGAATACCTGGCACTGAATACCTCTATGCCTTCTAGCCAGGCTGTACTGCAACACCTGAGAACAACTTCCCCAGACTTCGTAGCTGCAATGGTGGGATCACTGGGAGCTTTGGTGTTCTTTTTCCTTTCTGATTTTTTATTTATTCATTCTTTTCTTTTCTTTTTTTTCCTTCTTCTTCCCCTTTTTTTTCTCCATTTCATAGTCTCTCATCTCTCCACTCCAAGAGCAAGCTCACCCTAGCACTTTTTTTTGTTTCTTTGTATGTTTTTGGCTCCTGTTCTTCTCTCCTCTCTTCCATATCCATCCTAGCTCCACATATAACAATCTACCCCCTACATCCTGCCTACCTGCACCGTGCGCTTAACATCACACCACCAAGCAGCACAGGCACAGCCTACTGGAACCTTCTGTGCACTAATTACTGACCCGCCGTGGTGGCTGTAGTAAGTGCCGCAAACAACCCGTCCCTGTAACTCCTCTTCAGCTAGACCTGCCCTGCTGTACCATATCTGAGTGACTGACACTGCCAGTTGGAGAAGGAGACGAAAAGTATCATGCCAACAGACGAGCAAACAACAAAGAACACACAGCCCACCTGCTCAGACATAGCCAAATTAAAAAAAAAAACAAACAAAACAGGACGAAACAAATAAATCTACAACCAACAAATGAGAAAAATAACTACTTAATGCCCCGAAGACAGCAGACAATATCAAAACATTT